ATGTGAGTTCGGCGGACAAGCAGCGGGGGGAAGGGCACCAAGCAAAATACAAAAAAGAGAGCGAGACACGGGGAGCCGGGGGCCGGGGGAGGGAAGCGGCACGGGCGAAAGCCCGAGAGGGCACACGCGCCAGTGCCGGCGCTCGCTGGGCCATGCCGGTGTAGATCGCCACGGGCGCGCACCTGGTTCGGATCGCCGGAATGTGCGCAATCGCAGGGAGGCTCGTCCGACTCGTCGCCCGAGCTGTGGCCAGGGTCAAAGCCATCGTGCAGGTCCTCCTCGTAAAAGGCATCCTCCTCGTCATCAAGGAAGTCATCCTCGTCGGAGAAGGCGTCGACCACCAGGCCGGCGGGCTCGGGCTCGGGCTCGGCGAAGGTCACGCGCGGGCGGCCAGCCGCTGCATGGCTGCCAGCTCCATGGCCGCCGCCATCGGCACCGGTGCCGGCGCCGCTGCTGTTGCCGCCGCTGCCGGCCCCGGCCCCGGCCCCGGCATTGGCCAAGATCGATACCGGCTCATGGGGTGCGCCGGTCAGATCGATCGGCTGCTCGGGGGCCGGGCGTCCAGCCGGCACGACGATCAACGGCGACTGGGATGTGTACGGAGTCGATCCCTCGGACTGGTCGGAGGAAGCGTGGGGGGACAGCGACATCCTGGGCAGGCAAGGATGCCGGGGAGGCGCTGCAAGGGGGGGGAGGGGGGGGGGAGCGAGGGGGGTGGAGGCTGCGCTCGACTGGCGTGCCTCGGGCGCCCGGGGGCCAGAAGGGCTGGGAGTGGAGGGAGTGAAGACGGCGGCGCCCGCCGGTGGATCTCGCGAGGCGCGGCTCGCCGGCCGGAGGGGGGCGAAGCGCCGGGGAGAAGGGCGTGGGGGGGTGGCGAGCACGAAGGGGGAGCGGGCGTGTGTGCGTGTGTGTGGGTGTGCCGCCGTGCGTGCGTGCGTGCGTGCGTGCGAGAGGAGGGCCAAAGGCGTGAAGGAGCGGGATGCCCCGGGCCGCAGGGCTGCCCGGCCCGGAGCGTGATCCCTGAAGAAGGACGCGCTGGACAGCCTCGAGCGTGTGCGCAGGGGGCGCGCCTGCGCCGGGCCCGGCTGGGGCGGCCCCCGGCAGGGCGGCAGACCGAGCGAGGCCCGCGCCTCCTGCGCCCCATCGCCGGCGGATGGGCGGCTCGAGTGCCGTCTAGAACCGGTGAACATGGAGCACTCCCTGGGCCGGAGGGGATTTCGCCGAATCGCTCCCCGCCGCCCCCGCCTCCCGAGGGGCAAGGGTGGCCACCACGGGCGCGCACAGCCAGCCATCGGAACGGGCAATCGTGCGAACACCGGCGTGCGCCGGCGGAGCCAGCGTTGGGGGTTCGTACTCGCCCCCGGCCCCCCCCCCCCCCCGCCGCCGCTGGGCGTTTGGCCAGCCGGCTGGTCCCTGGGGCCGCCCCGCCCCCCCCCTTCCCCTCCTCCGGCGGTAATGAGGGCCTGGGGCCATCCGCGCATGTCGCGGCTATTGAACATGTCTGGGGGCCGCCCGCGCGCAGGGAGGGCGCGGGCGGCCCACACATCGGGGCCTCGCCCTCTTCTCCCGGCCTCTCGGCCCGGCCGTCGAGCCCTCCCTTGAGGCCGTGATGCCCGGGGGGTGGGGGCGCGGGGGGGGGGGGGGGGGCAAAAACATGGGAACTCCATACCGGAGGACCGGGGGAGAACTGCGTGTGTCATTAGAGACCAACGCGGGGGCGGGGGGGGGGGGGGGCGCCCCAACCGGGGGCCCCACGGCGGGCGGGCGCGCCCGGCCCCGGAGGGGGGACCGGCCACCGGGAAAATGCGGCGGGAACGCGGCCCGGGAAAAAAAAGATCAGGGCCCGTCATACATCGCCCCTCTCCCCCGGACATAGCTGGGGCGACACGCGCGCGCGCGCGCGCACGGGACCCCTCCCGCCCCACCGCCCCCGGCGCTGCACGGGAAGACCGCAGCGCCCATGGCGACCCCGGTGCCAGTGCCACCGGATCCTTGGCACGTCCCGCCCGCCGCGCCTCCCCGCCGGCGGCCTCCCTCGGCCGGACGCCCCCGGCGGGGGTTTCACCCCAACATGGGCATCGGCGCGGCCCGCGCGCACGATCGCCCGTGCCGACACCCCGCCCCGGGATGCGGATGCCGGCGACCACAAGGGGCCGGGGGGCCCGGGGTGTGTGTGTGTGTGTGCCCCCCCCCTGAGGTTCCGGCGCTCCGCGGTCCCGAACGGTCAAGAGCCGCCCCCCGCCCGAGGCGCACGGTCCTTGGCTTCCCGGCCTGTCCGC